GGCCTCTGGGGCACACTCCTAAGGGTACAAACTACCCGACAGAGCTGGCAAGGGATGAGCAGGAGTCAGGGAGGCTGCTGAGGTCCAGCTAACGTCAAGTCTGAACTCAGTGGCAGAAAAGCCTCTGCCTTAGCCAGGGACTTTTGACCTCTTCAGATCCCAGGCAAGAGGAGAGGGTAAAGAACAAAGATTAACTACACAAAAAAAAACCTCCCAGCTGGACACAAAGGCTCACGCCTGTAATCCCAGCACTTTGGGAGGCCAAGGAGGGTGAACTGCTTGAGCCTAGGTGTTCCAGACCAGTTTGCAACATGGCAAAACCCTGTCTCTACAAGAAATACAAAAAATTAGCCAGACGTGGTGGTGCACACCTGTAGTCTCAGCTACTCAGGAAGCTGAGGTGAGAGGTCTACAGGAGTAACATCCTGTATTCAAAAAATAAAAAAGGCTTTTCTTTGCCACCTTCCCCTTGCTACTCCAGCCCTCAAGGATCCCACCTGCAGACTTGCAGTTAATGACCTGGCATTTAGCACTTCGCTCTGCTAGACTTCAAGGGGCTAAAGGGCCGAGGACTTGTTACCCCAGAGATACCTCTCCAGGGCAGGGGCATCCACAGAGCCCTCTGCTCCAGAACATAACACATCCTCAGGTGGTACACATTGTTAAAGAGGAGGCAAGAATTTTCCTGCCCAAGACGGACATATAGAGAATCTAAAGATTTGTATATTTCCTTCAGATCTTCACTCAAATATTATGTTCTCAGCAAGGCCTTCCCTGGCCTCCCATCTAAGGCACCTTGCCACCCCACCCTGCCACAAACACACACGGGGCCTGTCTCCCTCTCGACTTTAGTTTTTCTCCTTAGCACTAGTCGCTAGCATACCACATATTTAATTTACGTCCCGTTAATAGTCACCCACACTAGAAGGAAACTCAACTAAGCCTGGAATTTTTGTCTCTTTTATTCACAGTGTATCTCCAGCTCTTAGAATCGTGCCTGGAACAGAGTAGGAGCTCAAAATATATTTTTGGAGTGAATGAATGATTACCCACACTTATTTAAGCACTTGCTGTGTGCTAGCGACTTCTGTAAACACTCTATTTAATACCTTACTTAGCTCATCTCATCTTCATAACCACTCTTCGAGGTAATACAATTATTTCTATTTTCTAGAACACTGGCTCTCAGAGAAGTCAAATCACTTGCCCAAGGTCTTACAATTTTTACTTGGCAGGGCAGGGCAGAGATGTGTCTGGCTTGTAGGCCTTAGCCATTACCTACACAAAATTAGCTGTGTTCAGGTGGAGGAGAGCAGCAGGTAGAGGGGGATAAAGGAAAAAGAGAGCAGAAAACCTCTGGAAGAAACTGACTAACACTCTAGCCCAGCACTGGCCGGTAGGCGTTTCTGCAATGATGGAAGAGATCGGTATCTGCACTGTTCAGTACAGTAGCCACTAGCAACAGGTGACTGTTGAGCACTTTAAATGTGACTAGTGCAACTAAGAAACTAAGTTTTTTATTTGATTTCATTTAAATTAATTTACTTTTTTTTGGAGACAGGGTCTCCTGTCGCCCAGACTGGCGTTCGGTAGTGCAAACATGGCTCCATGCAGACTGGACTCCAGTGATTCTCCCACCTCAGCCTTCAGAGTAGCAGGGACTACAGGCTCCTGTCACTGTGCCCAGCTAATTTTTTAAAATCTTTTTGTAGAGACAGCATCTCACCCTGTTGCCCAGGTCGGTCTCCAACTCCTGAGCTCAAGAGATCCTCCTGCCTCAGCCTCCCAAAGTGCTGGGATTACAGGCGTGAGTCACTGCACTGGCATAATTTAAATTTAAATAGGTACACGTGGCTAGTGGCTACCGTATTACAGAGCACAGCTTCAATCCAGACTAGATTCAGTGACTGGAAACGAGGTTGCTTGCTGGGTCTGTGGCTTCCAGGCCTGGTGGGACGGGGATTCAGGAGAGGGGGGAAGGGAGTGTATATTTTCAGCAGTGAGCGCCTAAGTTACTTTGTGTAATCTACGAATACCCAGGGAGGGGAGTATTTGTTTACCCCGGCTGCTAAGGGCTGGAGATGAGGCTCACGGTCAGGATCAGTGTGCCTGCTGCCTTGGGATCTTGGTCCTCAGTCAAAGGAACTTCCTCTCTCTAACCACCCCCCACCCCAAGCCAGACAATCTGTTCACGGGTAGTTGGTACCGAGTGGCCCGGTCAGAGTCTGGGGCTTCTCATTCCTTCTCAGGATTTACCCATGTCCATTTTCAGGCTCCTTTTAGGGTGGAGTCTGCAGAGCTGATCCTACACAGGCCTCACAGGCTTTACACGGACTCAAGAAATGTTTGCTGCAATGAATAAACAAGCAGCAAGCCAAAGCAAGGAGAGATTTCTGGCAACAGAGAGCCCGAGGGGGGAGGGCCTTCATTCAGCTCCTCAACGACACCATTTAGGAAGCCGTCCTCAAAACTGACAGTCCCTAAGAATCATGACGGGCAGTTTGTTTAAAATGACATGCCCCAGGGTTCTTATTTAATAATTATTTAATAAATTTTTATTTATAAATAATTTTATAAATATTTTTTTATTATTTAATAAATCTGGGTTAGGGTTCAAAAATCATGATGTTTACCAAGCCCTCCCACCCAACACACACACTAAGTCTGGTGCTAGGCTCAGAACTAAGCTTTTGAGAAATACTGATTTAGGGTGAGGCTAGGCATGTATGTGGGTATTGGGGGCAGGAAGAGGTTGCCCTAGAAGGAAATTCAGAAGCTGAGATAAGTCTTTGAGATACTTAAAGGTATACATACTTCTTTTGTGTATTTTCTTGCATTGCAGTAGCAAGAGGGAACTTGAGTCACCCAAGTCCAGCCTTCCAGCACCAGAGTGTTGGAATTGGCAGAAGCCTAAGTCCCAGCTAGTCCAGGCCCTTAGACAACGAGTACACCTGAGAAGTCCTGGCAGCTACAGGGTGTGTGGGCGGTAGCTGATCCCCAGGAAAACAAATCTCTGGGCTGTAAGAGCCCCGCAGGTGCGGATTTCCCCTCTCAGCCAACTCCAGCCTCTGCTCCCCCTCTGCTCCTCAGTTCTCTAAAGCAAAACATCTCACAGTCATTTGCTCCATGCTTCCTGTACGATTTCTTTATTTTTACTCTCCAGTTTGTGGGCTGAGTCTGTGTGGGTGTGGGAGAGGAGCTGGGTATTTCTACTTTTCTGCGTTTTCCTTCTGAGCTGGGAGGACTTTCACTTCCTCCCCAATCTCTCAGTTCTGCCTTTCATGGGCTGTCCAGGTCATGAGACCTCCTCTCCTATCCTTCCTGAGCACCAGGGAAACAGAAAACTGACTGCAACTGGCTGCCCTGGAAGGGCCTAGCATCCACTCAGGAGCAACAGGTGGTGGCAACTACAGCAGTAACAATAACCTCCCTGGGCCAGGAGCCCTGGGCTGGCGTGACAGCAACGGAGGCAGCCAAGGGAGCCCTGCTTGCTCCTGAGGCCATCCAAGGCCTGAAACCTGTCTTGCATCCCTCTAACACCACCATGGGCAAGCCTGGGCCTCCACTTCCCTCCCTCAGCCTTTTCTGCCCCAGCACTCAGCCAGACAAAAGTGACTCTCAGCTTGCCCCAGTGCCCCCAGCTCTGCCTGCTGATCTAGTTCTATATTTGAGAGTCTTAGACATCTACCACACTGGAGCACAGAGCCACGGGAGGGGTCGGCCTCCACCACCGGGGCCTGACAACCTGCCTTCCCAACCTCCCTGAACCTCAGTCTCCTCTTTCAAACAGTTATATGTAGATACAGAGGAGGATTAGAAAACATTGAATGGGTGCCTCAATCAACAGTGGCTGTTAGTGGCAGGAGTTATAAATGTGTATTGAAAAAGGAATTCCTTCCTTTTTTCTTCCAATCATAAGGACCACAACCATCCAAATAGCAAAGAGAGCCTCAGACACTCCAGCTCAGCCTCTAGCTGCAGAAAGTCACCTTCCCAAAGGGAGAGATCAGTGTTCACCTAGGACTGGAACGCAGTGTGATCTAGTGGTTGAAAGTCTTAGCCTTCAGCCTCCCCAGCCTCGTCAGCTGTTCCAGAAGCCTGTCAGCTGCCCCTTAGTTTTCTGCTGTGTCCTCAAAGAAGCACTTGGACCCTAAAATAAACCTCTGGAGAGCCAGTTGCCCAGCTCTTCCAGAAGAGACTAGACACACAGCTGGGCATGCGGCCAGAGTCCAGGAAAAGCCTGGATTGCCAGGGGCAGATTACTGTCAACAGGAGCAACAAGTGCCTCTGCCCTCTCCCTTACAGCTCCTTCTCTTGTCCGGAGGGGAGTCCAGCACGTGCCAGCCCCAGGAGGTCTCATTCCCTTGCCAGCCTCCCGACTCAATTCCCAGGACTGGGGCACTTGGCTTCCCAGAGTTGGTGGCTGCCGAACTGACTCCGTGCAGCGGGAAGATCCGTGACTCAGCGCCCATGATGTCAGTCCCTTCATAGTCAGGGCACTGTCATCCACACATGCACCCGCGGGGGTCGGGGGAGGACAAGGCGAGGTGGACCCCCAATGCAGAGGGAGAAGAGGGGCCCTGCTGGTACAAAGGACTTCCCAGGCGGGTTCATCACCCCGCTGGGGCGCGCCCTCTCCGGCCGTCTCCCCTTAGAGTAACCCGGCTCGCGGTTGTGTAAAGGCTCATGGGGGCACTGGGAAGGAGAGTCAGGTTTGCAAGGACACAGTCCTATACACTGACCTCAGGGAGCTTCCCGCACAGCTTCACAGGGCATTCCGGGGAGAGCTCCGGGCCAAGGGAGCAAGCGCAGCAGGGGGCGCAAGAGCCACTGCCCGCGACCACACAGCTAGGTGCCCGCCGGGCCTCAAGGCAGCCACAGAAAAGGGGAGCCGTCGCACCTCCTTTCCTCCCTCCAACCTCCCCCAGACTGCGGTGGCCACGGCGGTTTCCCCCAGCCGCCAGCTGCCCCAGCCCTCCAGGTGCGCCCGAAGCCCTTACCCTGCGCAGGGCAGCCCCCCGGGGCCAGCGCCGCCCCCGGCGCGGCCAGCAGGGCAGCCAGCAGCGCGCAGCCGACGGCCAGCATGCTTCCTCCTCGGCTACCGCTCCATGGTCCCGCAGAAGCGGACAGGCTGGTGGGAACCGGGCGGCAGGGGCGGGGCGGTGGGCGGGCAGGCTGGCTCAGTCTCCGGGGGCAGCCCCCATTCGCAGGAGCCCGGCGCTCTATATACACTGCGAGTCCCTCAGCCCCGCGCCGCGCTCGGCTCCGCTCCCTCTGGCCGGTCTCAGTGTCAGTGAGACTTCCCACTCGCACATGACTCAGAGCGGCGGACGGTCCTGGCAACACAGGAAAACATTTGAGGAACTCGCGCTGGAGCGTCTCTGGGCCGTCCCAGGGTGCGGTTACGAAAGCTGGAGCGGATGGCGCAACAGCCCCGCGCACCGGCCGACCGAGGGGGTGGCTTCCTGCCACAGCGCCGCACCTGAGCGGGGAGAACAGGGGACCGCCAGCCCCGTCAGAGCCCTTCCTCCCGGTTCTGTTGATGAGAAAAGGGCACTTGTTTTGATTTTTGGTTTCGTGAACAGGATTACGCTGTGAAAGGCACACCTGGAGAGCCCTCGAGGAGGCGATGTGACTCTTACCCCTATGATAAAGCAGTGCTTGGTAGCCTGGTTGCCCACTGGAATCAGCCGGGAGCCCCAAAACCCACCAATGTCTCGGTCGGGGCTCCAGAGATTCTGATTTCATCGGTCTGGGGTGAGGCTTGGGCATCGGAAGACTCACCACCTAAAGGCACAGTCTCTCTGCCCAGCTGCTCCTCGCAGGCTGGAGCAGAGGCAAGGAAACGGTTTGGACTTTGCAGTCAGATAGACCTGGGTCCCCATTTAGACCCACCATCTACTGTGTCTGTGACTTCGGTTCAGAATCTGAGTCTCCATTTCCTCATCTGTTAGAGATAAGAAAGCCTACGCTGCCCAGGGTTATTAGGAAGGTTCTGTGGATGGCACCTAAACACCCGATACGCGGTCTGGGCCACAGGTGCTCCGTAGACATCAGAACGTGCATGGCTGCCCTCCCGACTTGACAGACAGAAACTAACACCAGGGGCAGTGGCTCACGCCTGTAACCCCAACACTTTGGGAGACCCAGGTGGGTGGGTTGCTTCGGTCCAGGAATTCCAGACCAGCCTGGGTAACAAAGTGAGACCCCCCATTTCTATAAAAAATTTAAAAATTAGCTGGGTGTGGTGGTGCACGCCTGTAGTCCCATCTACTAGGGAAGCTGAGGTGGGAGAATTGCTTGAGTCCCAGAGACCCAGGCTACAGTGAGCTGTGATTGGGGGCCACTACTCCAGCCTGGATGACAGTGAGACCCTGTCTGAGAAAAAAAAAGAAAAGAAAAAGAAAACAAAAAGAAGGAAGGAAGGCAGGAGGGAGGGGAAGGAAGGAAAGGAAGGAAAGAAAAAAAGAAAGAAACTAGTGCTTGGCTTTTGAGCAACCACAAGGACCCTGAAGGGAACCATCTGTCGGTCCCTTGGAGGGGAACTCTCTCAAGGATCCCACAGAGCCTAAAGCTGATAGGATGGCCTCATGGCTGAATTCAGAGGGAAAGAAAAATGCTGAAATAAAGTTTAGGCTGAGAAGCTTCTAGACCAGCAACTGCTCATTAGAATGTGTTTTTCTGCTTTGGGTTTCAGGCCCATCCTAACCCAGATCAAAGATCCTGGGACAGCTGGAAGAGGCATGGCCTAATGGAACTCCCAAGTGGACAGTGCCAGGCATGGAGGGACAGAGCTTCTGAAACAGTCCTCAGAGTCCGTGCATCTGGGTCTTTCTGTAGGAACCGCCCCATCAGCAGTGCCAGGCCGAACCAAGCACACGCACTGATCTACCGCACGATGGGGGCTGCTGTGGGTGGGTTTGTTTGCTTCAGCCATGTCCGCAGACAGGAACAGAAGAGCACGCTGGAGGCCACCAGCCCTCTCGCCTGCTAGTTCAAAAGGGGTTGCAGCAGGGCTGGAAAGCGGTTCCCACTGTGGTTGCCCCCTTCCTCTCTGTGGCACACACAGACCTGAAAATAACCAGAGAGGGACTGCAAGCTGCCAGCCTAAAACAGGAAGGCTGCAGAAACTCCTAGGCTCAGATAGGAGAGTTTAAAAGAATGTTGAAACCAAGAATAGGCATCACAGATCCCACCTGTCTCTGCACCAAAGCAGACCTCCCCCTCTCTAATCTACTGATGGGGAGCCTGTGTGCTCTGTAGTCACGCAAATCGAGTTCCCATCCCGGCTTTACCACTTGCTGGCTGTATGACTTAAGCAAGTTACTTAACCTCTCTGAGCCCCTATTTCCTGATTTGCAAGATAAGAGCAGCAACATACAAATTTTTAGTGGTGTGGTTCACATGAAAAAATGTAGTCCTGGCCAGGCCAGGCGCAGTGCTTCACACCTGTAATCCCAGCACTTTAGTCGAGACCAGCCTGACCCACATGGTAAAACCCCATCTCTACTAAAAATACAAAAATTAGCCGGGCGTGGTGGTGCACACCTGTTGTCCCAGCTACTCAGGAAGCTGAGACAGGAGAATCACATGAACCCAGGAGGCAGACGTTGCGGTGAGCCGAGATGGCACCACTGCACTCCAGCCTGGGCAACAAGAACGAAACTCCATCTCAAAAAAAGAAAAGAAAAGAAAAGAAAAAAAGAAAGAGAAGAAAACATACCTGCACAATTCAGCCTGACTTGCCCTCACCTAGACAACAGAAGGAACAGCGAAGACTTTAGTTGTCTGAGCCAGAATACCTCTCGGATAACCGCTGCTTACAAATTGCTTCATATACACAATCTCCTCTGAAATTCTAAACCCTGAGTGCTGGGAGGTATTGCCCCTAATTTTCAGATGAGTAGACTGAGGCTAAGAGAGGTAAAGTGGCTTGTTCAAAACTGCACTACCAGTAACTGGCAGCTCTAGGGTGAAGTCTGGCTCCTGGCCCAGGACTCTCACTGAGCAAGGGCTCGGTGGGCCCACCCAGGACCAAAGACACTGCAGACCATGGCAGCAGGCACTTGGTGTTCTGTAGTCTGTGAGGGGAGAGCAGAGGGCAGAACTTGGTGTGTAGGACACCCTGTCCATTACGGGTGTTCCTGCAGGGACCCTCCGTCTCCCCTAAAGGGGGAAGCCCGAGGTTGACTCCCAGCAAGCAAGTCGTCTCTTACCTTCCACCTGAAGTGACGAAGCATCTTAAAGTTTGCCAAAAGCAGAAGTCTATAGGAGACTCCACAGAATAAATACGTAAGGTTTTTTGGAAACCAAAAGGGACTTGGTCATCATCTGCTCCTCCTCCTTCACTTTTCAGAGAAGGAAGCGAGGCCTCAAGAAGAGAAGTTGTTTGGTAAAGAGGGCACAGGGAGTTGGTGACAGAGCTGGTCAAGATCCCAGATACCCTGACTCAGAGTGGTCTTTTTAAATTCCCACCCTGCCCCCAACCTCCAGGTCTGGGCTGATGTGTTGGGGCCATTCTCAATTGTGAGAGTTTAAAACTATGCACTTTATTCTCTATTCACCGTGTGAATCCATCTTTAGGGACAACGATTATTCTGAGAAGTGCAGTGGGGTAGGGCTGGACTGACCCGCAGATCCCGCCCTGGCCTCTGGCCCTGGAGCCAGCCCCTGGTTAATCAATAATTACAGGAAGGTGCTCCTTATTCTCTGAAACCTTCCCCTCCTGCTTTCTCATCAGCCTGGGAGGAGGTTACGTGGGCAGACAGAGGTCTAATAACAGAACTCAGTGTCTGGCCAGTGGCATCCCTCAGAGTCAGGCTCCAGCCAGGGCCCATTGAGGGCCTCAGCCTGACCGTGGAGACGCTCACTTGCACAGTGGAGGAATGCAGCATCCCCAGCTGCGGCAGCATGACAGTGTGGCTCCCCGTTGCATCACCAGGTGAGTTTACACGTAGAAAAGGGATTTTTTTTAGTACCATTCTCAGAAAGGGGTCATAAAGTTTATCCCCTTCTTGTAATATTTAGAGAATGTTATGATTTTATAACTGCTAAAAAGCATCACAGTTATAGCTGGGCATGGTGGCACATGCCTGTAGTCCCAGCTGCTTGGGAGATTGAGGCAGGAGGACTGCATGAGCCCAGGAGGTCAAGGCTGCAGTGACCTATGATTCCACCTTTGGCACTCCAGCCTGGGCAACAGGGCAAGACCCTGTCTTTAAAAAAAAAAATAAAAATAAGGCCAGGCACAATGGCTCACGCCTGTAATCCCAACACTTTGGGAGGCCAAGGCGGGCAGATCATATGAGATCAGGAGTTCGAGGTCAGCCTGACCAACATGGTGACACCCATCTTTACTAAAAATACAAAAATTAGCAGGGCTTGGTGGCACATTTCTGTAATCCCAGCTACTTGGGAGGCTGAGGCACAGGAATTGCTTGAACCCAGGAGGCGGAGGTTACAGTGAGCTGAGATCGCACCACTGCACTCCAGCCTGGGCAACAGAGTGAGACTCTGTCTCAAAAAATAAATAAATAAATAAACAGCATTGCAATTAAAATTAAACATAGAATTGTCATATAATCTAGCAGTTTCACTTCTGGATATATTCATTAAAAAATTGAAAGCAGGGACTGGAACAGATATTTGTACACCCATATTTTTAGCAGCATTATTTACAATAGCCAAAAAGTAGAAATAATTCAAAAGTCCATCAAGAGATGAATGGATAAGCAAAATGTGGTATGTACATATAATTGAATATTACTTAGTCTTAAAAAGGAAGGAAATTCTGACATATGCTACAACATGATAAACCTTGAAGACATTATTCTAAGTGAAATAAACCAGCCACAAAAGGACAAATATTATATGATTTCATTTATATGAGGTACCTAGAGTAAACAAATTCATAGAGATAGGAAGCAGAGTGGTAGCTGCCAGGGGTTAGTAGGAGGAGAGTGGGAAGTTATTGTTTAATGGGTACAGAGCTTCCGTTTTTGCAAGATGAAAAGAGTTCTGGAGATGGATAGTGGTTATAGTTTCACAATAATGTGAATGTGCTTAAAGCCACTGAACCACTTAAAAATGGTTAAAATGCCCATGTGAGGGGGATTGCTTGAGGCCAGGAGTTCAAGGCTAGCCTGGTCAACACAGCAAGACCCTATCTCTACAAAAAATGTAAAAATTAGCCGGGCATGGTGATACACATCTGTAGTCCCAGCTACTCGGAAAGATAGCTTGAGGCAAGGAGTTCAAGGATGCAGCCAGATATGACAGCGCCACTGTACTCCAGCCTGGGAGACAGAAAAAGACCTTCCTTATCTTAAATAAATAAATAAGGTAAAACGGGAAATTTCATGTTTGTATATTTTATCACATTTTTAATAAAGCATTGCAATTATAAAATTAAACAAGCTAGATGCTTGGAAATCCAGAAAACAGATTGCATTATTGAGTGGGTGGGGAAGGGAAGATAACTTATATTTTTAAAGGATATAGAATGAGATTCCTTTAAGATAGTGGACTTTTTTTGGTGACTATACAATATAATTCTATGAATACAAACTCTGGAGCCAAAGTGCCTGCATTCAAATCTCAGTTCTGCCACTTATCAGCTGTTTGTCTCTGAACAAGTCACTTAACTTCTCTGTGTCTCAATGTCTTCATCTAAAAAATAGGGGGGAATACCCTCATAGAATTCTAATGTGAATTAAATTAGTTAACATATGTAAAACGTTTATAACAATGACAATACATGATAAACTCTATATGAGGGTTTGTTAAAT